AATCTTGTTAAATCCAGTTAGAGAATTTATACAAGAAGATATGAAGACACTGTGAAGTGACACAATGAAAACAGGTGGTAGTGGCCCACGAAAAGGCAGATAGCACCAGTAGAACAGTGCGGGGTCAGGCAGCCAACACACAGACCCACACGTATAGAACAACCTGCTTTCTGATGGGTGCCCTGCAGACCAGCGGAGAGGGCACTCTTTGTAGTAAACAGTGCTGCATAGCAAGAACAAAAACAAAAAAGAATTCTGATAAATATCTCATACCAAATGAATAATCCATAAGGGACAGATCATAGACTTAATGCGATGGGTAAAACAATAAGGCTTCAAGAGGACAACATAAAGTTGTTGTGCTTTGTTTTTATTTATTTATTTATTTATTTATTTATTTATTTATTTATTTTTGCTTGGGAAGGAGAGCGCATTACCTCTGTAGAAAAAGTTTTCTTAAACAGGACATAAATGGACTAACCATAATGGAATAAAATTGATAGATTGGACTTCATTAAAATTAAAAACTTTTATTCATCATAAGGCGCCATTAAGAGAATAAAAAAGCAAGCTACAGAATGGGAGAAGATATTGACAATACATCTATCTGATGAAGAAATGACATCCATAATATATAAGGACCGCCAACAGATCAATAAGACAGGGGCAGACAACTTAATACAAAAAGGGACAAAAAAGCCAAGCAGAAACCTCACAAGGAGATCAAAATGGTAAATCAGTCAGTAAGAACATTCTGATTAGATCAGAGAGAGACACATACTATTTGAGTGGCTGAAATTTAGACTGAGAAAAGCCAAGTGCTAGTGAGGATGTAGGGCAACAGGACGCTCATGCACCACCATGGAGAGGGGAGGGGTCAACTGGCACTGTCTCTTCGGAAAACTGGCGGGATTGTGCTAAAGCTGCACATAGACACATTCTAGGATACACAAATTCCAGTCCCCGAGGACATACCAACAGAAATGCACCAACACACACACACACACACACACACACACAGGAATGTTCATGGCAGTTTTATTCATAACAATTCAATTGCATGAACTCAGTCCAAGTACAATAGAATGGATGAATAAAATGTGGTTAATTCCTACAAGGGAATACTTTTCAGCAATGATAAAAATGAACTACTTCTGCATATAGCATGGATGAATCTCACAGAAAGAAGTCTGAGTAAAGGAAGCCAGACACAAAAAGTACCCTACTATATGATACCCATTTGCATAATGAAACCTAAAACCCACTTATACTGTTCTATGGTGATAGAAATAAAAAATGCCGGTTACTTTTGGCAGAGAGCATGCTTCCTGGCAGGCTCCCAGGGTGCTGGAAATGCTCTTGCTGATATGCATGGTTGGTTACACTCTTAAACCTTATAGGAAGCCTTCTGCTTCTCATTGGGATATAGGAAGTCATGAGACTATTATTCACATTCTAATGCAAAGAACAAGTCAGGTAAGTTACAAGATCACAGATTTTTGAAACCGTAAGATAACTGAGAACATAATGAGGTCCACTGAATAAAAATAAAGAAGCTAACAAGCTCTTTCTATGAGAAATAAGGCCTATTGTTGCTTTTATCTCTGGAGGGGGAGAGAGTGGATCCTGTCATTAAGGAGGTACAGGCTTCTGATTATGGAATGAATAAGTTATAAGGATAAAAGTTAAGCGCAGGTAATATATATAGTCAATAGTACTGTAACAGCGTTGTATGGTGACAGATGGCAGCTACTCTGTAATGAGCATAGTATAACACAAAGACTTGTTAAATTATTATGTTGTACACCTGAAAGTATATAGCATTGTGTGTCAACTATACGTCAATAAAAAGGGAGCACTGAAGACAATAAATAAAATATTTTTAGAAACTATGTCTTGAACAACAACAACAAAAAGGTAGGGTGAGGAACATGAAGACAAATCATTCAGACTTGCAAGAAAACTTTAGTGGCTACGACTGGACAAGCTTGACGGATTCACATCTTGAAAGAGTCTACCCACCATCAACTCTTCCCCACAACCCTCCATCTGCTCCCTAAGGGTATGCACCAAAGGGCCAAAGACCTGTTGGGCTAAGGAGGATGTCCAGATTTGATAATTTCCAAAGAGCTGATGGGGGTGTGACGCCAGAGACAGGAAACTCATTAAGATGCTACTGTAGGACAGTGATGATTCTGATCTAAGTCAAGGCAGTAGCCTGGGTGGTGGAGATAGGCAAATGGACTTCATGAACTACTTCAGAGGTAGAGGAGACAGTACCCTTGGTGTAGCATTCTTACAAGGCATATTTCATTCTGCTGCTATGAGGTAAATCACAGCATGAATAAATAAATAAAAAAAAAAAGCCTGCTATGTAGTTTTCTCACAGCTTCCTATAATGAGGACTGCAAATGGAAATCATAACACAGAATCCCAAATGGACAGAAGCTTTTGATCTAGATGAGTGAGGCACCAAAGAACCAAGTGGCTACCAAAAGATACCATTGGAAGACCAGTACTAAATATATTAGACACAGAAGACAATATAGAGAAAGTTCCGGAAAAATCTTTGGATTACTGGGTCAGTGAGTAGGAAACAAAATATTCATGCCTAAGAGCTTGGCTGGGGGCAAAGGAAACTTCAGAGGTCAGTAAAAGAAGAAGCTGAAGATTTATGGTGATGGTTTTAATAAATCTTGCAATAGGTAACTTTGACTATTTGATCTCAAGACTCAGTCTATCTGGATAAAGTCAAAAAGGAAGTCAGTCTTTCGTAAAATAGCTACAACAATAAAACCTCATGAAACAATTTCTCAAAAGAACTGGAAGGGAGGAGGGAGAAAGAGAGGCTGCTCAGGTGGCCTTGGTCCAAACTCAGATGCTGAGAATGATCATGACTCTTGCCTCTGGGCCTCCAATTATACACACCATCCCATTATGACTGGTGGCCTTCCAGTTAGTACTATTTTTACCAAAGCTTCATGGAGTTGGGTTTAGATTTATGTCTAGAAAATTATGCACAATGACATGAAAAATAAAATACCGAAAATGGAAGATTTAGGAGATAACATGATCAATACACGTTTGCTGATCTAGAATATAGCTCAGGAAAAGTGAAAGGTAGATTAATTAAGTATTAAGCCAAACATGAATTTTAATATCTGAAGACATTTATAAGCAAGAAACCCTGAGGCATATTTATAGGGCCACTTTAATTAGTCAGTATTCAAAGCAGCTTTACACATGAGTCAAGTTTTCAACGTATTTTAATAAGCATCTCTTCTAAATGCAAGAGTTGAGGTTCCATAAACCAAGCATGGAATCTGGAATCAGAAAACATGGGTTTCAGTTCTGGCCCTGCCAGTTACAAACTCTGAGAGCAAATCACACAACTTGCTGCAAATGTAAGATGGAAAACTCTAACGGGTGGCCATAGAAATTAAACACACCAAGGATGTGAACTGCTTTGTAAAACAAAAAGTGATACATTATTTCCTCAAATGAGTAGGGAAGCAAAGAGAAAATATGTTCACGAAATTTGCTTGTATTCAAGTTAACAGTCTTATCACAAATGTCCACATAGTATTCAAGTTAACAGTCTTATCACAAATGTCCACATATATATTTAAGAAAGTACATTTGAGTTTACTGATAATGATAAAAGACCCAAGAATTCTGGGTTCTTATTTATTTATCTACTTATTAATACGTTTTAAAACGTTTATTCATTTTTGAGACAGAATAGACTGTGAGCAGGGGAGGGGAAGAGAGAGAGGGAGACACAGATTCCGAAGCAGGCTTCAGGCTCTGAGCTATCAGCACAGAGCCTGACGCGGGGCTCAAACTCATGGACTGAGAGATCATGACCTGAGCTGAAGTCAGATGCACAACCAACTGAGCCACCCAGGTGCTCCTCTGGGTTCCTTTTTTGACCACTGCCCTAAAGGTTACATTTGTACATGGAAATAACCTAATTATCAAAGGTTATTTGATAATAACCTAAAAAAATGCCTGTCATGGTGATTTCTTATGGATTACATTAGTATCTTCGAGGTAACTGCAAGAGGAACTATATCAGGGGAGTTAGTTTAGTCCGGACGAACCTGGATTCAAATCCTGCATCTATCACCTCCTACTTGTTTATGAGAGCCCAATCATCTTTAGCTCTGTTTTCTGTCACAAAAGTAGAGAGATATTCATAGAATAATATCACAGGTTTCAAAGATTTAAGAGATGATAGCATATAATGTACTTAGTAGAATGCCTGGCATGTGATACAGACATTATAAATGTTAGCGAGGATAATACCTAAAATTTACACATAAAGAGCTTTGTGTTTCACCTACTGATCACTCTCATCTCTGTGAACTTGTATGCAGTGCCTCATGTACACAGTGATACGGAAGTTCACATTATTTTACAGCCAGATGGGAACATTCAACCATTTGTTGAATGGCTACTATGAGTCAGGCAGCATGAAAGACACTATGGATACAAAAATGAACTAGAAATTATAGTCTTTAATTTCAAATACTTCTTAAGAATATAAGACTCCTGAGGGCAAGTACTTGCTGGGTCTGCCCACTTCTCTATCCCCAGGGACCAAAATAGTATCTGGAATATGGAACTTACTTGGTAACCATTTGTAAAATGGATTTTCTGTGCTCTTACTGTATAAATCCCATTGTAGAAATTAATTTTACTTCTATTAAAGGGAAACATTTTTATTAGTAGTATAATTGAAACTGGGTTTAAATCCTAGCTCCTTGAAATAATGTTAGTGATTTTCTTACAAAATAAATATAATGACATCTCGCACTTTGAAAAAAAAATTCAAGAAATGTGCAGCACACCTAGGGAAGAATTCCCACCAAGTATTTGATAATGTGATAAGCAAAGGAACCTTGATACCATGTTCTTACTGCACGTATTAACATCTGTCCTACCACTGAAACTAACTGATGACAAAATTCCACTTTAAAGGTTTAAGTATAGCTCACCTGGTCTTCTTCTCCTCCACCTTCTTCATCATATTTTAAAATATTATCTCTTACATCATCTTCTGGATCAATTAAAAGTTGCTTGGCCTGGCGTTCTTTATCCCGACGTTTCATCCATACCACAAACATCAGAACAAGGACTAGAGAGAAAACGAGTAAAGAAAAGCATAATGGCATAACTTTTAAAACATGACCTTTCTAATAATAGACTTTAATACGACTAACATACTTATACGGGTCAAAAGCTTGTCATGCAGCTTCTTCTGTGTTCTCTCTTTCTGGCCTCCCATGAACAGAGAGAAGACAAAGCAGGACCCAAGCACTGGGTACTGAGAGTGAAATCCTGGGTTCCAGAACCTGGTGCCCTGTGAACTCACTGGCTAAGTGTCCATCCTCAACAGTATCATTTACAGATGGGGATGAGAATCACTTCCTTCTCTCCCTTCTGCTTGCTGGAGGATAGGATACTCCTAATATAACGGTTTGTAAATTCTAAACCAACAAACAATGGTAAGTTAAATTGCTACTTGTTATGTAACTGTTATTTCACTGAGGCTGGTGGGCCATCACTATACCCTCGGAAATCAGAGGGAACAGCACTTCCCAGAGAAGGTAAGTGCTTGCCAGGACGACTTGGGGAGTAAATTGACACTGGATCAGCAATTGGATCTCAAGGACTTCGGGCTCCCAAAGGCTGTGCTTTTCTACTGCACCATTCTGCATTCCTGCTCCTCTTAAACTGCATGTTTCAAGTAAGAAGTGGATGGGAAGATATGTTGGAGCACTGAAATAACATTAGGCTTTCAGGCTTTACATTTCTGTGCCAGGTCTGGCACCATGAATCTTTCAGAGGGTTGATGTTCAAATCAGCACCAATTCATTTTCCTTCAAAATGCCATAGTCACTTCTTCATGCCAAAGTCCATCATGTCGAAGTCTTTCCTCATAAGGTTAGCATATATGCCACATTTTGGTTCAAATTGAAACATATCCCTAAGTGCACATTGAGGAGTGCATTCTCTCTAAAATCTGAGGATATCAGTTTACATCCTGAAGCAAGAGATTTAATGACTCCTATTTGAGCACATTTTATTATTGGCCATAAAAGTAAATATCCTCCTTTTAAAGCCAGATACATGATCTCATTTGCCATTGTTCCAGGGCTAAATCTAGCAAGTGGATTATTAGTACAGCATGCAGGTTTCAAATTATAGTTAAAGTAGTCTCCACACAGGAAGTAAAAAATGCTCAGGCTTCTATCGTAATTGCTTAGAATAAAGGGACAGAATTCTAAATTACCAGAACACTTGTAAATGGAGAAAACATAAAAGAAATGGCCAACATTTTCAAGAAAGTGATTGGTGCGTAGCGTGATCACACAATAAACTAAGTCCTGCTGCTATTTAACAATAAAACACAGGGCCAGGCAATTTATCCTTTTAACCTGCATGCTTAGAAGGGGCTCCTAAAGTACTTTCCAGTGGTTAATTTCTTGCATTCCATTGAACCAAAGATTGCAAAGTGTCTGAAGAAGGAGCAATTCCTTAATCTAGATTTGCTCTGAAGACAGATAATTTATTGAGCTGTGTAATCATTTCTATTATCAAATGTGCTGTATGAAGTACAATATCTCACTATTTTATGTAGCCCTTCAGAAACAAATACCTTGATCCCTGCATGACTGGAGTTAGCTGCTGACTGTGCTTTATACAAAGGAAAACTAAGGAAAGCAATATACTTATTTTCCTAAATCATCAACTCAGTGCCATAAATTCATATTCAAATCGTAAGTGCTCAAACTTGGTAAGACCATCTAACATTTTCCCATGAAAAGAGTTTGCTACAGCTCACCAAGCCACGGTGCCAGAAAACCAGGGTGCGCCGGCTAGGTTTGCTGCAAATATGTAAGTGCTTCAAATAGTGCTCAGGGTTTTTCTCACTCGGAAGTGGACCTGCCTCCCCACATACAATTTGGCAAGAATGGGCTCAGAGGTGAAGAGAGAGATTAGATTGTTTCGAAAGGCAACAGCAAAATGTTACTTTGCAAAACATTTTAGGTGGGAAAAGAATTTAAAATCCAAGAGACATGGACGCCTGAGTGGCTCAATTGGTTAGCAGTGGACTCTCGATTCCCACTCAGCTCATGATCTCACAGTTCGTGGATTTAAGCTCTGCATCGGGATCTGCACTGTCAGCTTGGGATTCTCCCTCTCCGTCTTTCTCTACCCCTCTCTTGTGCTCTCCCTTTTTCTCTCTCTCAAAATAAATAGAAAGCATTACAAATAAAGTCCGAGAGACAATACAAATACTCACTGAGCAGGATGATGATGCAAAGGAGGATGGCGATTATGGCCCCTGTACCAAGCCCTGCACCCACAATCCTGTCCACATCGGTGCAGTCTCCATTGGAGTCACACTGGCAGACCTTCACGCGAAGGATGGAAATATTTGATTTGGGAGGATTGCCCGAATCTGTGATTATGATTGGGACTTCATATATTCCAGCTTCAAGAAATTTGATCTTCAAATTAAGCTGAGCAAAATCACCTATATAAAAGAGGGGGAAAAAAACCCACCAGTTGACCGTTAATACATAATACGGTAAAAATACACAGAATTTTCGAGAACTGCATTTACTACTAACAGTATATAGTGAGCAATACAACTATGCTGCCTTGTAAAGGTTTTTTTTTTTTTTTTTAAAGCTGTAGAAGCTTTTAGTATCTTATTTAACTTTAAGTAGCTTTAAAAATATATTTAATGATAAGATTATAAAGCACCTAAAATTAACTTTTCATATCAGGCTTCGACACCTCTCAACTGCACATACAGTCAAATAATTAACCTGTTCTTACCATTAAGCCGAGTGATAGTCCAATTCCTCTTAATAGTCACTGGAGACAAAGGAAGATCAAAAGCAAATGGTCCAGCATTTGGATCGATGTCATAATCAAGTGCTGTGATGTTAATTGAATTGGGGTCTGGAGTTTCACAAGTCTCTGCCTCTTGAGGTAACACTTGAGGGGCATTGTCATTAATATCAAGTAAATAGATCTGCAGAGTTCCCGTTCCGCTCATGGGAGGGATTCCTTAAAAGGAGAAAAATCACAAATCAATGCTGAACAATTCTTTCCCATGAGTCTCCATTATGGTGGAATTCTCCAAACTTCTAGCCTGCTTGCCTTTACTGTTGTATAACCCTGGAAAAAATCTAGTTGTCACAGCATCTGGCACACGGTTTTTCCAACAAGGCCACCTCTTGCTTCCTAGGACGACCATCGCTGTTGGGGTGGAGAACTGAGCTCTGTGACAATACGTGCTACCCCTGCAGAGTGTGCTTCTGCACCTTCCCTGCCCTCCTTGTCCCTTACTCTGGGCCTTGTGCACACCACGCTCTGCTAGGCACTGTGGGGAATACAAGAGAAGCAGAACGCAGGGCTCATGATCTTGTGGACCTTACTCTTTTGATGGAGGACCAAGACATATGCATGAAAGAGCATGAGAATGCCTCTAATGCTTCAACACAGCCATGAAATATTCAATCTAAGGGTAACAGAGGCCCAGAGACCTCACCTTGGGAAGAAATGCCATGGAGAAGAGAAATGGTAAAGCTTCAACACAGCTATGAAATATTCAATCTACAGGTCACACAGACCCATATACCTCATCTCGGGAAGACATGCCATGGAGAAGGGAAATGGCACTTATTGATCAACCAACTACCTGCTTGACCAAGTGTTAGGCTGCTCTATATACATTATTTCATTGTAATCCTATGAAGTGCCTTTGAACGGATTGGGAACCGAAGTCTGTGTAAACTGCTCATGGTCACATGTTCTTGTAAGTGCTGCAGTTGCTACTAAAGATAGATCTGCCTGACCCAAACCCACCCTAAAGATTTCTCTACTACTTTTTGTAATAATTTAGCCTCTGTGAGATTAAACGTATTTATAATATTATTATTTATAGTGACAAAATTATTTAATTTAATTTTATAGTAGGCATTAAATATAGTAGAATAGAAATATAAAATATGTTAAAATAACAATTCTGAGACCCAGAGGTTAAAGTGACCTGTCCAAGAACATGCAACTAGAAAGGGGCACACATATATGCTAAGGAAGAGGCAAGGAGAAATCTCTATGGACCTGTCTGAGGCTACAGATGGTGCTGAGAGCAGGGAGAATGGGGGTGGGGGAAGTAGGGACAAGGTGGCTGTGAAGAATATTCTAATGATGACCATAGCACCAGGAGCTCTGTGATACTCCATGGTTTGAAGATCTTTCATACTTTTTTTTTTTTTTTAATATTTTTATTTATTTCTAGGAGAGAGAGAGAGAGACAGCATGAGCAGGGGAGGGTCAGAGACAGAGGGAGATACAGACTCTGATATAAGCTCCAGGCTCTGAGCTGGCAGTCACCACAGAGCCCGATGCGGGGCTCGAACCCACGAACCGCGAGATCATGACCTAAGTGAAAGTCGGACACTTAACCGACTAAGCCACCCAGGCGCCCCAACACTCTTTATCACATATAATATTATTTGACTCTCATAACAACTTTATAGAAGAGGCAACCGCAAAAACAAATTCTCAGTGATGAAATGAAGGCACAGGAAGTATAAGAGCTTGCCCAGTCATTAAGGGGCTCCATATCCAGCCTTGGTTTAGAGTCAAGTACATTTGCAAAGCATCATAGCTACACAGATGCAACCATCTACTTCTTTCGCATACTAAACACCCTTTCAATTAGAAAAAAATACACCTTGGTGAATGACAAATCTGGTTGTAACTCACAACCAACACTCATACATATAATTTTATAGCCCTTTACATCTCAACATAATAGTGCAAGATATATTGCTTTAAGTTCCTTCATGGAGGAAAGCTATGCCTTACATTCAGTGAGAGCATAAAACAGACACTAATGCCGTGCTCTGATGTTCAGTGGCAGAAGCTGTCCCTACTACATTTCAAGTCTAAATATTTGAACAGTAGGTCTGATATTAGAAAGGATAAGAAATATTGCTTTTAGCTTGTCACACCATGTAGATTTAGAATAAATCATATTCTCATTGAATCTTATTATATAATCTTATTATGTAAGATTCAGAAAGGTCCATCAGAAATTGTTCTTATCAAAAGTGCTGATGGGTAACATTTTTCAAACGCACTTCTTGACCACCAAATTGAAGCCTGCTAGTTTTATGAGATGCTAGCATTCACAGTGTAGCACTAAATGACTCTAAAATATGGTTATGATCCAGTTTTAAAACTATTAACATATAACGGAAATATTTATTGGAGTGTTTATGTCAGGCACCGTTTAAAAAACTTTATGTGTACAAGCCACTTTATCTTCTTCCATACACCATGACTTAGGTGTTGCTACCATCCCTGTTTAAGAGAAAAAGGGATACCTGGGTGCAATCAGTTAAGGATCTGACTCTTGATTTCAGCTCATGTCATGATCTCACAGTTTGTGGGATCAAGCCCTGTGTTGGGCTCTGCACTGATAGCTGGGATCCTCTCTCTTTCTCTCGATGCCTCACCCTTGCATAAAGTACATGTGCTTTTTCTCTCTCTCTCAATAAATAAACAAACTTAAAAAATAAAATAGAAAAGGAAATTGAACATATTGAAAATTTTATTGCTAATCCAGTTAGAAACTGGTAGAACTGGAGTCTGGATCCAAGCAGTCAGGCAGACTTTCAAAGCTTACACTCTTAAACACACGTCATATTGAGAGCTAACAAAGCAAAACAAATCCACCACCAGGTTTATGTAGGTCATTTTTGTCTTATATAACCAAAAGAAGAAGGAAAAGGAGAAGATGATGAAGAGGAAGACAAAGACGATGAAGATGGAGGAGGAGGAGGAGGAGGAGGAGGAGAAGAAGAAGAAGAAGAAGAAGAAGAAGAAGAATAAGAAGAAGAAGAAGAAGGCTGCTATCTATTAATCTCAATCATTGAGAATCCAGCAGACTCAGAAAGGAAAAAATAGGTGCTAGACTATATGGTACAAAGAACACACAAAAACATGTTGTACTCACTTACTTCAATTTGTGCATGAAATTAAGGGTTACCTAGGCCATGGCAGATGAGAGGCAGAGAATTACAAAGAGAAAAAAATGCTAGAGACAGGCCAACTGATGTCAGCAAATAGGCTGACCATAAGAGCTGTAAAAGGATCACCTCAAAAAAACAGTGTCTGGGCCATGGAGGCATTGAGGCTATCCTCAACTTGTAGCAATGAGGCATCAATGTGTAGTAGGGCAGAAGAACTACAAAGGTTTGTCATCATAGTACTAGGCACCATGAAGGGCGTATGGACGTCGGGAACATTCATTACAGAAGACAGGGACTATGTGAGAAAACCTAGCAGAAATGGAAACTAGAAGTAGGGGCCTTGGCTTGGTAAAGGTCAGTTTTCTAGTCAGTTAGGTTTCATAGGAAAGCTTTTTTCTTAACGCATTCATGATGAGGCTCTACTCTCTTTAACAACATATTGGGTAATACGATGACCATATTTAATTACGTACCATTGTCAGAAGCCAGGAAAGTGGCATTATATATATTGTTTTTCACATTTGGTGATTCTCTGTCCAAAACAGCAATTGTTGTTATTTGCCCATTCACAGGATCTATTTTTAGCCAATTGGCAGGATCAGATAATTTTGTGTATCTACAAAAGGAAAGCTTTAGTAAGTTTAAATATTGTAATATACTTAAAAAAAGAAAGCATATTTTGTGTCACCAGTCCATTAACTTGCATTTTTGTAGGTGCTGATTGAAAATACAGTGTTAACATGGAAAAGTTTTTCTGTTGCAGTGGTTAAACTCTTGTCTCTTGTCTAGTTTAATGGATAACAATGATCCCAATAAAACAGTTCAACTATACCTTCTAATTAAACAGTAGCCCTAATCTATAGGACTTAAGAGACATTATAAATAGAAGTTGAATTTTCTTTCATGGAACACACCCAAAACATTTACCAATGCATCATAGGGGAGATGAAGTCACAGTGGGGACACTCCTACATTCCTATACCCATCATGACTTCCCCCACAGGGCCAAACCTCAGAACTACACTCTTCAAAGAAAATCCCACCATCTGAGTCTATATAAAGTAGATTTATATGTAGTTGTAGGTTTATCAACTTAAACTCCTTTTTTATTCTGGGTAGAGAATAAGCTTTTCAAGCTCAGATAACCAATATACAGATTGGAAAAAATATCCTGTTTTGAAAGGTAAAAAGTGGTAGAGGTTCAATATGCCTATTAATGAGCTATTTCTCTATCTTGATGTCAATGTATAGAGAAATACGAAAGATATGCAATTATCTGTTAGCAGCAGTTTTTAAAGAAGTTAAATAAAATATGAGCTAATTTAAAAAATTATCGTCACCAGCAATGGATAATAGTCATGTAGGCTGTGCTCTGCCAACAATCTACTCCCTCATCAGGAAGGATAAATTAAATTGTGCTGAGGTTGGAAATCTTTACAGATATGTTTTATAAGTCCTAGAACTACTGTACAGGTAAGAGGCAAAAATAATTAGCTCTTATATCTTGTTTTTGGCATGAGTTTTCTTTTTTCCTGACGTGTGCAGAAGGGATAAATGTTACAGCTTCTGAGAGTCTCCTCTTTACTTACAGTGAAAACTTTTTTGCGCTATTTGGTATAACAGCACAGGCTAAATTATTATGAAATATAAAAAGATAAAAGGGGTGGATGAAGGAAAGAGGCAGAGAACATTTTTTTCTTCAAATAATTACATGAGTAGATCCATTCTTCTATTTCCTATCTAATATGCTCTCGTTGATTTATTTACTGAGAGGAAGCTTCATCAAGGAATTAAAAATAATTTTGTCGTAAGTGGTTTGGGTTCCAGTTCAAATTTTTCATTCAAATGTAAGTACACTGTGTGCACAGCATAGAACATAAAGTAAATTTTTAAAAATGCTATGAATGGCATCTGATACCTAATATTTTGCTGCATGTATCGATCTGGGTCCTGAGCAGTAAATGTTGTTAACATAGTACCAGCATGAAGGCCTTCCTCTTGGCGAATGACCTTGGGATTTGGGGTAAAATAAGGGTTTTCATTCACATCAATAACTGTGACGGACACGGTTGCAGTTGACTGAGGTGGGTGCTGAATACCCTTGGCTAATGGCACTTGATTTTCAGCAGCAACAGTAAGGACAAACATCCTATTTGTTTCAAAGTCAATTGGCTGGAAAAAAAAAAAAAAGGAAACCATATTTTTGCAGGAAATAAGAATAGTTGCATTCTGCAGTTAATTCTTCTTTAAGACTTCATTTCCAAAACATTAATTTTTCATTCATAACGCCAGAGGTTCCTCTCAAATTTCTGGAAAACATGCATTAGCATGGTCAATGATTAAAATATTTATCACAATTGAGCCTCTTTATATAAGATATTTATTAATCTTGGGTACTTCAAAGATTTATGCTCACAAAATAATGCATATTACTATTGCACTGATTACATTTATTCAGCTACATCTAAAACCTTGATTATCCTTAAGAACAGCATTGTGAACTAAAAATGCTAAATAATCTGAGGTCAATTGAGAACCCAAGGGTCTAGATTATATTCTCAAACATTGGTATCAAAACCACACCTCATCCAAGAAAGCTTTTATTATCTGTGATGAAGTGCAAAAAACCAAAACCAAAATCAGAAACCATTAGAATTTGATTTTTTCATAAAGCAAAAACTTAATTCTATTTAAAACTATCATTTGTAATTTGAAACACATTTTAAAGTAAAGACATGTACACACACATACTTACAAAAAATAACAGTGTTTGTAAGGAGAAGGGCTTTTGTCTTGCTTTTGTTTTTTCCTTACTTAGCAAACTAAAACTCTGGCTGTCTCCCAAAAGAATTTTAGGTGTTCTACTGGTTTGTAAAAATCTCAGCTCTAACAACAACACTCTAGATAAAGGTGATGCACAAATAACCCATAGTATAAACATTAAGTTCCAAAGTTCCATTGAATCCTACTGTCAATAGAAGAGTTACCAGGAGTCAAGTGATCAGACTGGACTTTCATTTCACTCTTGACTTCCCTTGATCATCTTCTAGTGGAGGTGCAAATAAGTATTACCATGCCTTAACAATTTGAAAATGAGCTTAGAGAGCTCTCATGATATCATAGATGGTCTAAGAAGGAAGCTAATGAGAAAGCCACATTGTTAGCACAAACTGCACCAGTTTCCTAACCTAGACCACTCACTCAAACCTTCAAATACATAGTTTCTTTTTCTATTGCTCTAAAATCACCAATTCAACTCCCCGTTGTCAATTATTTTAGACAAGACAGTGGAGAAGCCAAAAAGTAAGACAGAATTCCTTTGAGTGGTTTCATTTGCTGCATGAGAAGTCCACGACCTAATATTTTTATGCAGAGTTTTGTCCTTAAATGCATATTAAAGTGTATGTATGCCTCAGAATAGTATGACTTAGGTACTATTATCTTCCTTACTTTCTGTATGAGGAGTCTGAGGCTTAGAGAGGTTCAACAACTTGCCATGCTCACAACACTATCAAAGGCTGACCTGGGATTTGAACACTCAATCTGGCTCTCGGGTGTTCAGAGAAACATCCAACGCTCACCTCCTGGGGCAAATTCCCCTTCTACTCACACTCATTCTAGGCAACTGACACCTCGGTGCACCTTTCTATGCAAAACCCACATCTGGATTCACTTAGTGTTGGGATGAGAGGCAAGGGAACGCATCCCTTCACTGGGGGGGCTTGAACGAAGAGATGTTCACTTTAAAGACATTTTATGTTACAGTTACGTATTTATTACACTTGCAGTTAACAAACCCTTCCTTCCAGCACTCAGTGTGTTTCGTTTTTGACAATTAAAGATCAGAAGAACCAATTTCTTAAAGTCTTGAACATAGCATTTGAAAACAGCAGTGCAAACTCACAATGTTTTCATGATGTAGGTCCTCTTCCTGCCTACGCAACACATTTTACTTTTGTGGTATTTTTTGGTTTGTTCTCTGAGCCAATGCTCCAAGAGCAACTTGAGAATAATTAGGCATGGGGCCTCTTTCCTAATAGCTATCAACTGGTGATCCATTAATACTTCAGGACGTGCTACCTCACTACCCGCACTCACAGTTAACACTGTGGAGGGCAGTCCTGTCTTTAGAATGTTAAAACTGACCCCGAATGATTTAAACACAATCATATTCCAGTGATATTGTGAGAACAGTTCTGTTGGCCTCAACCTAGCCTCAACATAAACTGAAAAATAGCAAATGGGGGCACCTGGGTGGCTCAGTCAGTTAAGTATCCGACTTCAAGCTCGGTTCCTGAGTTCAGGCCCTGCATCGGGCTCTGTGCTGACAGCTCGGAGCCTGGAGCCTGCTTTGGATTCTGTGTTTCCCCCTCTCTCCGCCCCTCCTCTGCTGATGCTCTGTCTCTTCCTCTCTCTCAGAGATAAACATTAAAAAAAATTTTTTTAAATAACAAATGTGATTTCCCAAAATAGATTAATTCCAGATTTGAAGATGTTTGAAAAAAAAAGAAAAAACCCTACGACTAAATAATAAACTATGGGCCTGTCAGAGAGATCACTGACCCAAGCGGCGCTTACCTTGGCTACAGTGACTAAGCCGTCATTGCTGTTCGGGTCCGTCTGAATGGCAAATCGCCCTGTGGGATCCCCACCGCTGATTCTGTACATGGCATTCCAGGCGGGTGTATGGGGCTGATCCTTATCGGTCACTGTTAGATTAGCTACTATGACATCTACCCTGTTTTCAGGGACTTCACCATAGAACTACAAGAAAAACAAACCTCAGTCAGAGGAGTGACGCGGACCGGTGAAGGACAGTGCGTCTTGACCACACTGCCCTGATTTTACTGCCCCATTAAATCTTTATTACCTACCCTCAATGAGGAAATCAGTAATGCAGGTAATCACAGCATTTATGTTTGACTTTAAAAATACTATAAATTTTCTCAGCAGACAAAATTTCTTCCAAATCATGTTATAGTTTCATTAATATTAAAATTAGTGTCCATTTGTGAGTCTCTGGGTGATTCATGCAGGGTTGGAGAAAAGGATTTGTCTGAGGGAAATAATTTTACTCAAGAGGTAATATCTGTATGCTGCCAAAGTTGCATAAATCAGTCATGTAATATCTATTCAATTCCATGTACCTCAAAATACTTATAAACATTTTGTTATAACAGCACATTTTTAGGCCACTTCTTCCGAGTAGCATATTTCAACCACTTCATCAGTGGATGTGGAGACTAGGAGGGAACAGATTACTGAGGTACCTCATTTAAAAGTCCTGGTGACAGAAAACGTCTGAGCTAGTGGCCAGTCTATAATTGGGTAAAGCAAGTCACACCTCTATTTAACGCATTTATTATTAATGACAAAACTTTTCAGTAATGGACCACAGCCCTTTCTGTGAATGGCAGTCTGTACTTACTGTCATGGCAGTAAACTCTGGAGGATTGTCATTGACATCTGTCACCGTGATGACAGCCGTAGCTGTGTTTGAAAGGCCGTATGTGGGATTGCCTTCCATGTCTGTTGCTTGAATTATTAATGTATACTGTTGCACTTTCTAAAAAGACAAAAAAGATAACACCTTAAATGAAACTAATTCCTCAAGAAGACATAGCAACTGTTTTGTAAATGGCTCTTTATTACACACAGAAAGCACAGCATCATTCATTCTGATTAGCATTACTTGAAATTTCCCAAAAAATGGACTTTAACTTGAGAAGCACAGGTCTGGTTCTTGTCTAGAAAGATGTGACTGTATATTCGCCTCTATTTGTGGAAAAGATAAAAGACTGCATTGCAGATGTGTGAATTCACAGAGAAGCTGAAACTTTCCATCTGGTCTCAACCTTTCCCTCTCTACTGAACTTTGCAACACTGTGATCAAGCATTCAAGTCATTTCGTTTGTGTTTACTTTCTCCTATGTTACTTTCTACCCAGTTTAGGATAATGAAAAATCTTGAAAGCTGTGAGTATACACATATACATATATGCTTTCATATATTTTATTTTACAGGTTATATATATACACATATATATGCTTTTTAAGAATATATTCTCATATATGTTCTCTCAAATCTAAAAGGGTTCATAAAATACTTTCTGCTACTTCCCATTAGTACATACTGTTCACAACTGTATAGAAAAGACATATTTTTAAATGAAGTTAAAACCTAATTAAAGGGTTTATGTCCTTCGTTATAACTAAGGAAGACAGTGGTACTTAATAGTTGCATACTCAACAGAATGTCATTTCTACCTAATACTCATTGTGTCCACATACCTATGATGGATATAGATACATCTGCATGTACATGATTATTACCAAATAAGTATCACTGCTGTCAAATTGCTAATTGAATTTTTAAAAGGGGAGCCAAGTTAAGCTGCACTGTATCTAAGAGAATATCTAGAGACTGCCTGAGAAGCCTACAGCACTAGCTGACAAATATACTTTATATTAGGACAATCTAACTAAAATGATTTCCTAAAGTCATTTGAAATCTCCATGGAAATTAACACAGATAAAAAACATAGATCGTTTTCATAAATGTTAAAACACTCTGAACAACAAAACTCACTGCTTCATACAAAAATAAACTGTCACTGCAAAGTACAGTTTTCTCTGATTCTAAATATAGCTAACATTATGAATGGCCATTCTTAAAGAATTTCTGGAGCTTGGCTAGAGCAGACGCAAATTGTAGCTTTTGATTTAGTTATTAGTGGGAAGGGTAAGGAAGAAGTGAGGAGGAGAAAAAGCCAAAGCCCACACATTTGGTTTTTAAGTCTCTGTCCACCCAAATACCAAATTCTAACAGTTATTTACTTATTTGTCTTCCTAAAAAAGAAAATACCATACTTATTAAAAGAAAAAAGAAACAAAGGCATAGTGCTATTTGAACCATTTAAAATTTTCTTAGCCCATAACACCTCACCATAATGCTTATGTAGGCTAAAATATTTCTCAATGATTTACTTTCCCAATCAAGTGTCATTTCAGTTTAATCCTCTCATGGTTAGTGAGAGAATTTTGTAGGGCATTCAGTTCAGCTTCCCAGCTGAAAATCATGAAAATAAAAATTTGTTATGACTTCCAAATGCCATTTCTGTTAGCTGCTATTTGCAGAAGCAGATGAGCATTTAAAAAAATTGTTTTTGTTTTTTTGGGTTTTTTTTTTTTTTTGGTTAAAGAAGATAAAAAATCCCACACAGATACTGTAATCCCGCACAGCTCTTTGTAATGGCTACTCTTTAAATTATAATGTTTACTTTAAAATTATGTAAAAGTAATATATACAATTTTCTACTGAGCTGAAATATTGGGATCAGTAGCTAAAACATGAAATTTCCTACTGCTTCAAGTTCCTTTTAGAATCCTTAAGTTATAAAAGACCATTGTTATTTCTAAAATACAATGTCTCTTCAAATAAAAGAATTCCAACTTGGTAAATAATAGAATCTCCATTTTCATATGCTCTGTTGGTAAAATGTTCTTACATTTAGTAAGGAAGACATGACAGCCTGTTTTAGACAACCAAACTATTTAGGGCTTCTTGACTAATTTAGTCCCTGGGCATCTGGTTCTGAATGACTGACATTTAGATTCCATAAGAATTTGACTTCCCATCCTCAATCTCACATCTGATCCAGGGGCTTTTACTTAAAAATGTTTCCTTACTCCCTGTTCCAGATGAGTAAAATATTGACTCATCTGCTTGCTTTCTATCCATCCTTCTCTCCCTGTGACTCACCTAATCTTACCAAAGCTTTGTATCGTCTTTCATCCACTTGCCCTACACCTTGAGCTTTTGGTAATTACTTTCAAGTGCCTACTGTGACACTCCACCACTACATCTGGCATTTCCTTCAGGCGAGAAAGGTGGTTCTCAACTGAAGTAATTTTGTCCCCCAAGGGGACATTTGGCCATTCCTGGGACATTTTTGGTTGTCATAATTGGGGGGGGGGAGTGCTACTGACATCCGCTGAAGAGAGGCCAGGGAAGCTGCTAAACATCTTGTGATATATAGGACAGGCCCCACATAAAAGATTTATCTGATCCAAAATGTCAAGGGTGCTAATGCTGAGTGAGAAACTCTGGGCTTGAATACTGTTTCCTTCACCCTGAGCCTGGCAAACACGAAGCTGAAAAGTCACCTTAGATGACTTCTGAAAGTTCTGGAGGCAGAGCTATTGGCCTGTCCAGGACACACCTCTATCACTGTTTCCAGTATTATATGGCTGCTATTGGTCCGTATGTCTGTCCTCCTGGCTGTGTATACACATACACACCCCTTCTCAGGGGCCCTGCTTTGTCAACATTTGTGTCATGGCCTAATGCCTGACACAGAGCAAGCAGTGATAAATGCTTTTGACTTGGTGGTTGGATGGGTGAATGAATGAGAAACCCTCAGCCTTGTATTACATTATAAAAATCATTCCAGGTTTGGGAAAAAAGCATCTTATTTACATGGTAGCTATTATATTTTTATTGAATCATATACTGGGAGTATAAAGTAGCTCAGTTTCCCAAACTGCAGTGATTCATACACCATCTTCCCAACGCTGCCATATCCTCATAGTTCTATATCATGAGTCACTTAACATTTATCTTGACATTCACTCCCTTTAGAAAAAATTATTATAAAAGAACAGTAAATGGAAAGCCAGCATCACCTACCATAAATATAACTTTAAAAATAAACATAATATAATCCTTGCACTCTGGCTCCTCTACTTGATGGAGAAATATCTAAAGACTATGGTTTCTAGTTTTCTCTAGAGGTTCCCTTACATTATCAACTGAAATCATTATGCCTGTGCACTTCTGAAACACTGAACTGAGTGATATAAGCAAATGAGGAAGAGCATTCAGTCATTTGATGTGGCAAACATTTAACGAAGGTCTACTGGATGCCTGGTGATGTCGTATTTAATTGGATAAGATAATGCACAAACCCAGAGATGGCCTTGATATTGATAGGTCATGCTAAAGGTTCAGTACAAAGCAACTGTAGTAAGAGTAGGAAGAAGTGAAGTTGGGGCATCCAAACCAGTCTAGTCCTCAAAGTATGGAGGGAAGAATGAATACAAGAGATATTTTGGAGGTAAAATGAGAGGAACCTGATAACTGAACCTATCAGTGGATGGTTGGCAGTGGGTGGTAAATGGATGGCAGTGTATGGTAAAGGCAAGTAGACCATGCTTTTGGGAGACTGGGGAGGTGATACTGTCCCATGAAATAGGATATTGATCAGGAATCACAGGTTGAGGGAAAGATAGCTTGCTTTGGATGCACTACGTTTGGATGAACTGTGAAGTAATAATGTTATGAGAACTTAGAGGATAAGTACAGGTTGGTGGTCCTGTTCAAATTCTTAAATGCTAAGCCCCAGTTCCTTCATCTGTGAAATGGGGCTGATGGCACCATCAACCTGGTGTGCCTGGGGTATAAAAAAGTTTTTCGAATGCTTATTGTATGCTGACATTGTTCTAAGGGCTTTGATGAGAAAAAAATAACATTTATTGAGGTTGAGTATTAATTATGTGCCAGGCACACTGCTCAGCACCATACACTATCTTCAGTCCTTACAAAAATCACATAAGGCAGGTGGATTTTTTAATCCTCATTTTCCAGATAAGGAACCAAGACTTAAGGAGGTAAGGGACCTTGCCCACTGACACCCAGCCATAAGCAGCATAGACAAGATTTGAATCCAGGTCCCTTGGACTCCAGAGTCTGTACCATTAATTGCTCCACTGTAGTAGGGCCCTCCAAGAAAATGTGACTATGTGCATGGCACGGTGCATCCTGAGTGGTGTGAAGTAAGACAAGTAAGAAGTGGGAGCTGAGCATGAATGTGGGCTCCTTTCGAGCAGCGTGGTGCTGAAATGAAGGAGAAAATCTCGGAACATGAAGATTCCTTCAGAGTTCCTGTTTAGGGTAAAAAGGAACACACTAGCCTCACCAAATACTGGGAGCCAGAAGGCAGATATATTGTCTATGTAACATAGTCTTTGCCTATCTCAGGGAATGCAGAGACTACGGATGGGAGCCCAGGAAGGGGTTGAGGACTGACTCTCAAAGAGTGAGGATCATCCTGCTGTACAGAGATGGGAAAGGAAATCTGCAGGAGGGGGAAACAATGGAAACAGAAGAACACAGAGCTTCAGATTTGTACAAGGAGGTGGTTGTAGGAGTGTTGGGCATTATTTGTTCCTCAGCAGGAGGTAAGGAAGACCAGGGGGTTAGACCCAAAGGCGGCTTTGGGGCCAATGTCATAGAGTGCTTGGAGCACCATGTTACCTTTAACATTCTGACATCATCTTATGGGTGAGGGAGCACCGCTTTACCACAGGGGTACACAACATATTTATAGAGATAGAGAAATTTGTGGGGTTTGTAGAAAGGAACTTGTAGAGAAGGGAAGACCAAGACAGCAGAATGCAGGAGAACATGTAGCTGAGAGCACACGTGAAAACAGGGAGGCTTAGAAAACAAGAAGTAGAATTCTTTCTTTGCCAAGAGAAAATGAGGAGGAGGAGTGAAAGCGATAGCGCTCACTCGGTAGATGCGGAGGCTGGACTGATGATGGCGACAGGGGGACAGTGCTGGGTGCTTTATACCTCGTGTCACATAACCCTTGCAACCATCCCACGAGGGAGGTGATAGTATCGGCCCCATTCACAGATCTAGGAACTGAGGTTTCAGGTTAATACACTGAAGGTCAAAGAGCCCATAATGGGCAATGCCAGGATTCACACCTCCTGAAGCAGAGTGTGAGTCCTCAGTAGCCCTACCCGAAAAGGGCAGGAGATGGACATAAAGAGAAAGGAGTGGAGAAAAGAAAATGCCGGGAATAGGCACCACCGAGTGACCCAACAAGAAGTGAGGTGGAGATAAAACACTGAGGACTGGCATGTATGTACTAGGTACCACGTTAGGCCTGGAAACCTGAAGAAGGGATATTTTTCTAAACCTACAGATTAAAGTAAAATAAAAAACTGAATCTCAGAAAGCATTTCAATGATTAGGAGTTCAATCGCTTGTAAGTGTCATATATCCTGGGAGAATGACAACTGAAATTATTTTTGACAGAAAGAAAACTGTGAATTCTAATAGAAAGAAAAGAATTTCAGGCCTGCACGAAGCCTGAAGAAGTCAGAGTAATTTATCCCTGGCCTCAGGCAGAATTACCATAAACCATCTGAGATGGATACATTTTTTTTTCCTATTAAATGACTTTCAGAAATGGAAGATTTTCCATAATTTTCCCTAGTAACTCATTGTTGTGTTTAATAATTTCACTGTCAAGAAGCTATTGCTGACACATGATTCTATCGTTGCGAATCCATTTCCACATTCATTTCATCAGGGGGTGGCGCCTAGCTGCTTCTGTCCACCGCAACATAAACTCAACCACGTGACGGTAGGACTTCAGGCCTCCCTCCATTCTCTGAACTAAATGCAGTCCCTCTGGTTTTTAAATATGGTCGGTCTGCTTTAGTAAAACTATCTTTAATCCTTGATGCCTCTTTCTTGTCATGAAACAGTCAGGCTGAATGAGATAAGAATACTTCTGGGTACACACAAGATGAAGACCTATTTCTGTATCTCACAATGAAGAATGTGAATGAAAGAGAAATATTCGTGTTGGGGGGGATGAGCTATGTCTACATAGAATGTGCACAACCTGGCACTCTAGAGAAAATATTATTTTCCAGAGAAAATAGTAAAAAATACCCCAGGTTCTCATACCAGCTATGCACATGCGCTAAGTTTATTGGCATTTAAGAATTGCACTTCCTACGGTAACAGAAGAGGTGAAAAGACATACATGTTCTACATATCACTGAACTAAAAGTACTATTGCAAAAACTAAATTTCAACCGTCTCCAACCTAGAAGATTCCTGGAAAAAGAATCGTTGAAACCTGGAAGTTAACAGGTGCAATGTAACAGGCATACATCTAACTCGAAAGTAAGGCTCTCAGCTCAGTTCAGTTGTGAATAAAGTAATCTCAATTGTTCGTACTACTTTAGTAAGGTTCTGCTAGCACCATCTTGCGTATAAAATTAATTGCAGTATCAATGTTCCCTTCGATCCAATTCAAGTGAATGCTAAGGCAAATAAAGCATCATAAAAACCAACTCCTAAAATCCTTGTCAATATTATTTATTATGGTAAGTATAATGTTTCCTTTTGACATAGACAATTGGAGGTCACATTACTATAAAAGCTGGCTCAGCCAGAAACCTACAAAGCACAAATGTCTATGAGTTAGCACTTTGATAATTCACTCACATGATGACTACTGATGGTCCATAATGACCTTGAGAATCTCTTAAGAAAAATGGGCAGAACAGAATAAGGAGTGTAAAAGATTCATTAGGGACAGAGTTTTCAGGAAAGGATATAAGTGGGGCTTACACTGAACACGAAGAACTGGGAGGTTCAAGATCAAGAAAAAGGTGCTAGGCATTCCCGGTAGAAGGAAATTACATGAACAAAAAAACTCAGAGGTGTGTAAGATGATAGTGGGTTAAGGTCTGTCACAGTGAGATGAACATTTGGAATTAACCGAAATACGCATGCCCTCTCACACTGTGACACTACATGGTATTTCAGTGCTGTCAACATTTTATGCCTTTTCAACAAAAATTATGCCAGAAGTCTGTTTTTCTCCATTTACAGCTTTAAAGCCTTGTCAGTGGAATTAATGCCATTGCTAGTCTTCAATCCTGTTAAGTAAGTTAAACTTAGAGTTAAGGGGCAAGTTTTAATAAAGGGGATAATCTCCTCTGGTAAACCAGTCTATCCACAGAGGCTAAAGAACACCCCAGTACACACATGTTATATGTAGCTTCTTAAGATATTAATGTTAAAAATTATCCTAAACTCACGCACACATTTGGGCATGATTTTTAATTTAAGTCTTCACAAATACCTTTGAATATAAGGGAAAACTGAGAAAATGCCAAGAATTAAAAAAAATTAGATACCAGATATAGCTGATTAACTTAGTCAATTGCACACTATTTATTACATGGCCTAGCAATGATTTATCCAGTAAGCATACATCATTTAACCAATGTGAAGTTCGGCAGAAAATAGCACAAGAGTTCTTTAAAAAACTAACATCGAATTATATTGTGGATGTATTATTACCTGGAGATAAACTGCATGTGATACCGTGTACCTTTATGATTAAAAACAAATTCAAATAGTTTTTGGTTGGCTTACTTCTCTATCAAGTCCAGCTGCCACGGTGATGATATCACCAGTCTCATTGTTGATTGTAAACATGTTGGGCGAAGGGGTGCTTGGAGCCTGGGACAGGATTCTGTACCTCAACATCCCATTTAGGGCGTTTGGATCATCAGCATCAATAGCAGTGACCGTCATCACGTATGTCCCTAGACACAGTATACATGGAAAATGAATGGTCACCCCTCACGTCAGTCTCCCAAATAGATACTCCTAAATGGTATATTTGCCTTTTCGATCAATCTTCATTTTACTTCTTCAAAACAAACATGTAATCATTTAGACTTGATTAAAAATGCTACCCATAAGAACAGTACTCACTTTAAAAAATATAAAACATGGTTTACATACTTGAAAGAAAAATTATTAAAAATGTATACATTTATAAAGATTCAATTTTTCCATAATTTAGAAGTTCACTATATGACTCAAACAAAGGATCACTTCAGACCTTTATTCATATAAAGTGCAAATAATATTATAGATTCTATTAGCAGCATATTTTATGACCACTGAAACCTTTTCCTTTGTCATATTTCCTTCTGCTACACAGTAACATCAGAAATGAGATGGTGAGCATCATTCTCCTCAATGCCTGAGTCACTTTCTGAAAGTAAGCTGTGTGCATAACGAGGCACACTCCATTTATTCAGGTCATAAGGAATCATTCCATGCATTACTGTTTTGGTACATTGAATGGGGGTTTGGCATTGTGGTTCATTATTTCCTAGGAGATTACAAGAGCACTGTAACAAACTGAGGGACTTCAACTTATTAGATATTTTGGAAAGGAAATCTACAAAGCATCAGAACCAAATAAGTTCAAACTAGCTACACAAATTGTATAATTTAGAAGCAGAGAGCAAAGTAGTTACTACTTAGGAAGGTCTGTTCTGTGGGAAATTTAGAAGAACTGGGATGTAAATTTTTCCATCGCTAATTTACCTTCTTCATGAGTGCTCTAAGCCCAGTTCTACTTTAGAACCTCTCCATGGCACCGTGTTTGCCCCAGAATTCACAAAGGCTTGATCACATTATTCTCATCTTTTCAGACCTTGCCACTCTAAACAAGATGCTTTTATTATGTGCTACCTCTAAGCCCTTATTGTTAGTATTTTTTAAAACTTCTTTGAGTATTTTCTTGCTTGGTTGGCTTTTATGCTTCTCCCCTAATAGAATGTGTGCTCCAGTAAGGCCAGAGCTGTTACTCATAGTGCTAGAACAGCGCTCAGCACACAGCACAGACTCTATACACATTTGGTGAATGAACAAATGAATGGTTAAAACAAAAAAATATATTCCAGAATTTTGAACCAAAATACTGATTACAATGCAGTCTAAATCAAGATTCTTACAGAACAACCACAAGAAGTATATGCATTAAGCATCTTTACTTCTCATGAAGATTGTGTCTTTTATTTAGGGAGGAGGGCTTTAATGGAAATTCATGATCAAATGCATAATAAATATATCTTTAATGGTTTATTTTGGACAATTTTTGTGAAGCAGTACTTTCTACTAGTTAGAAATAATAGAGGGAAAAAATAAATGATTAACCTCCCCCAAATTTCCGCATGTAAAAAAGCTTTATCTTTAGGATATGTGTGAAAGACTTGTGTTTTAGTAAGGATATGTTTAATATTCTTTGATTGTATAGTATTTTAAAATACCAAAGAAAGCTACTCTGGAATGTGACTCAGAAGAAGCCACAGATGGTTGAACTTCCCACACAGCCCTGTCCTCTCCTGAAGCTCCCCTCACCCCCACCTCTTCTTCCTTCCTGAAGATACAGACAAGTGCATTTGATTAAGAAAAAAAATGCCAATTCAAAAAAAAAAAAAGAAAAAAATGCCAATTTAAGGCATATCGGTTATACCCATAAATTAGCATATGCATGAGAGAGCCACCAGTATAAATTGGTACAGAATACAATGGTAATATGTAGCACAATTTTAAATATTGAGGCTCTTTTAAATACAAAGTCAGGATAATAATAATATAGCTAATTAAGTCCCTCTGACACCAAATCATCTCAGGAAGCCTGGAGAAATCTCTCCTTTTCCGATCTCTCTATGAATGGATTTTCTAGTTTTTCAAACTAAATTGCCCTCCCCCTCTCCAGCCTGGTTCTTCTGACATCTACAGTGTTCTCGGCACAGGAATCAAGAATCTTAGTCAAACACTACTTCACAATGGTGGGTAGCTTTGGCAATTGCTGCTTCTAGGCTAGGACACTTTTCTATGACACTGAGCTGAAAAGCTCAGGCTGCAGAAGACATTCGGGTCATGCCCAAGTAAATAGCCAGTGTGTCCACAGCAGCCGTTGCAGCTGCCTCCAGGCCTCCTCTCTGCTTTTGGCTTCACCTCACTGCCTGGCCCCAGGAATGCCAACTCCCTTTCAGACTCTCCACTGTGCTTCATGTGCTCCTCCGACTAATATGATAAAATCTGTACTTTATGAACGGAAAGCCCCTGGTATTCTGGTGCTCACTTTTTGCTGCACTGACTTTATGAACCACAGCCAAATGAAAGAATTCTTGGATCCTATAAAATAGAATAAAAAATACTGTAGTGTGTGCTTTTTCAAAGGTGGGAAGTGTTTTCTCTCTTCAGTGGGATTTTTCCCATTGCCTTCTTTTTCCCCTAAAATCGTTTTGCATGAAAGAAAATAACACTAATAACAAGGCTCACATGATTTCTCCTTCTTTTGCTTATATACCAGTTCTGTATTACACTGCATTTCTTGAATCTCCGTTTTCAAACTTACCGGGCTTGGACCCCTCAGGAACTGTCCCATTCCAAACCTGGTGTAAGAACTCTGGTCTGTTATCGTTCATATCAATAACATTGATGACAATATCAATGGGGTTCTCCACTTGATTCCCATTAATATCCACTGCGTGTGCCCTCAACTGCAAAAGTAATTAGAAGACAAAACTACTTAACAGATTTATGTCTCGAGTGAGAAGATAAAATAGATAATCACTGCGCTACCAAAATAGCAAGGATGAACAGAGAAACTGAAGAAAAAAAAAAAAGCTACTTTCCCCATCAAACTTTAACTTAGCCAAACTTCATATGACCAGGATAGATACAGTAGTAAAAAGCCAACAAATACTCTCTGCGAGGCATTGTGCTCAGAGTTTTATGGATTTTAACTCGTTTAATCCACATACAAAAGAGTGAGACAGAAACGATAAGCACTTGAAGGTGAAGACATTGAGATTCAGAAAAGCTAAGTAACTTTGCTCTGTCTCTTGACAGAGCCCATATCCAAAGCCAGTCCTGTCCAGTTCCCAAATCCTTTTGCTAAATCCATACATATGAGTCCGCATAATGAAAAATGTACTGGCACAGAGTAGTCATAGAGATTAAGAGACCAGAAGAGAACTTAGAAAGAATTAAGTACGCATAGGGAATTTTGACACTAGGTGTTTTGTTTTTTTTTTTAATTGTAAAGTCACTCATCAACATTAAAAGTGCCTGAGTATATAAGACGTTGTTCTCTCAAGCCTAAGTTTTCAGTTTTACTGGTATTCTAAATATTTTATTTCTTTTTCTTTTTAAATAAATATAGTCACTAGGTTACTCTTGGCAGAATATTCTCAAAATCTTTTAATCCAGTACATAAAGATCCATTACATTCTTTTCAATGGCTGTGTAGTGTTCCATTGAATTGTTTCTTTTTAACTGGAATGCTTCTGTGGTTTTCCTGTTAAATGTGGTGCTGCCTTTTGGTTTCTGTTTGTTGGATAGGCTTCATCAAGTTAAAGAAGTATCAACATATCTTCTTTTTCTTAATTTAGAAGTTATTTAAGACATGAAGCAATGCAAGTTTTATTATTGCCTTTCAACACTAATAAAAAGAATCCTTTTTTCCTTCATTATTTAATTAAGTGAAGGAATCTACATTACATAAATAGATTCTTAATAATGAAACATTCTTGCAATTCTATAATTGATTCTATTTTTTTTTATGAGTGTCACTTAATTATGTGCTGGTAGTAAGAATCTGCAGAGCAAGAATTTACCCAAAAAATGAACTGAAATATTTATTTCTTGGTCTCAATGACAGGAGTTCAAAAAATGAGAATTTATTCAGGAAGAATTATTTAGAATTTCTGTATTGATATTATTTATATTCATAAATTGAGACTAGTCTAATTAAAGACTAGTCTATCATGTGATATCTTTATCAAGTTCCCCTAATAATGAGATTTTGTTTTTATGGAAGGTTTGGACGTTTTATTTCTTTCTTAATCCTTTAGAACAATATAAAAAGCATTAGCATTATATATTCCTTAAGGATTTTAAAAGAACTGGTTGATGAAACAATCAAGGCATTTGGAAGAAGGGAGTGTTAAGTAATATTCAAGACAGAAAAAACTGTTGTTTTATTTTTACATCCAAGGTGGGGCTCAAACTCACGACCCGGAGATCAAGAGTTGGATGCTCTATCAACAGGGCCAGCCAGGTGACCCCCAACCCCCTTTTTGAGTAACCTTCATTTATTTTTAAGCTCTACATATCATTTTTTTTATTTTAAGCTCTACATATCAATATTTTAATAATGTTCAAAACTTCAATCATTTAAAAAAGTTTTATAAGTGCAAAAATTCAACAATTATGTTATTGTGAAAAGTACGAATTTAGAAACAAACACATACATATGTGGAATAAAAAGTTTTGAATGACTAAGTGTAGATGATATGTCCCTGGGAATACTGGGAATTCAATACATAGGACAACTTATTTAAAGGAAGAACAAAGTAGGTCTATATATACCTCTCTCCTTTTAGTAAAATAAACTCCACAGAGGTTAAAAATATAGATGCAAAAAATAAATAAATACAAAAAAATTGGGTGGATTAATATCTTGGAGTAGAGAAGGTTTTTAATAACCATCTGTAAAACCAGACTGTATGATAAAATTGAAAAACACAATTAATTTTACAATGTAAGAATCATGAACAATAGTGGGGTAAAAATTATTAATAAGTTTAAAAACAAACAACAAAAGGGGAAAAGTATGGGACAAATTAAATATTAACATTCCTTACTGTTAACAAGTTCTTAACAGTAAGAAAAAAAGGTAAACAATCCAAAAGAACATTCAACACAGAACAGGAGTAGGGAATTCACTATGATTAGAACTTAGGCAACTTAAAGCATTAAGGTAATGCTTTTTATTTTGCAAATAATACTGAATAAATAAATAACACCGGAAATTGATAATTATGTGGAGAAAGTATATCTCCTATATAATGGGCCAGTAGTATAAAAAAATATGACCATTTTAGAGAACGATTTCACAATATTTATGAAAATAATTCCAATTTCAGGAATTTTTTCCAAGGATATATGGGAAAATGCACAGAAAAGTGTTCATTGTCATATTATTTGTAGTTGCGAAATAAAAGAAAAGAAACCAAATTACCCTAATATCTACCAATAGGTAATTAGTTAAATTACGTTACATTCATTCAACAAAATAATACGAAGCCATCAAAAATGATGACAAAAATAGGTAATTATTTCCTGACTTGGAAAGATGCTAAATCTTATTAGGATTGCTGAGTGACAAAAGCTGGTTTCAGAGAATGATGTGAATTTCAAGGAAATACATTTATGAATCTATGCAAAGAAAAACATCTTGCAGCATATCACCAGTGTTAAAAAAAAAAAGGTTGATTCTATGTACTGAGATTACAAATCTTTTTTACTTTCTTATTAATACTGCATTATTTGAAAAGATTTTGCAATGTGCATACATTCTGTCTAAAAAATGATAATTTCATTAAAAGTTTTAGTTATTCATGCAGAAATTGGAGAAGTAATAGAGACTAACTTAGTTTTCTATATTAAAGTCATGAAAAAATGGTTGAAATCTTGTTCTGGGAAATATGCAAGCATGGCTGAAAAAAAAAAAAGAGAATTGAAAAATACTTCCTGAAATTTATATTAATATTAGGCAATCCTTGAGTTTCAAAATACTCACAATTAATATTTAAAATGATTAAAAATCAGTTTCAAATATATACATATACTATATTTAAAAATATGACCATATAAATATATATAAAAACTTGTGATAACCCAGTAAGAAAATGAATAAAACAAAAAAATAAAGAACATAAAAACGAACATAAGAAATATAATAAGATAGGGGCATCTGAGTGACTCAGTTGGTTAAGCGTCCAACTCTTGATAACTGATCAGGTCACGATCTCATAGTTCATTACATCAAGCCCCACTCATAGTCTATACATTTAATGGAATACTATGCAATCATTAAAAGTGATCTCCATATAATTTATACACAACAATTTTGACTTCCTTCATGTAAATTTGTTCTTTTAAGTCCTTAGCCACACAGACTTGCAAAGGGTAATGAGATTTTAGGCCATTTCACTTTCTGCTTTGGCACTGTTTTTTTATCATAGGTACACATCAAGTCTATAAAAACAGTAAAATTATTACAACAAATTGAAAAGGCTACAAAGTGCATTCTGGTGTGAAAACTCTCAGTATCAAAGCATGAAGACCAATAGTAGAGGCAAATGTTGAACTCCACAGTCCGAAGAGTATTAATACAACAGATCATCAGCTGGCTGACATCTTACATGAAACCGGGCTATCAGCTCACGATCCAGAGGCTTGGTTACCGACAGCTGACCTGAGATGGGGTTGATAATGAAGATACCAGTTGGAGGCTGGTCAGCTCCTGGCCCCGTCACGCTATACCGCAGTGAAAGGTTTTTATCTCTATCGGACCTGATCTGAGGAACAAGAAGACAATCATATTATTAAATGAGAGACTAAATGAGCTCATTATCAGAGACAGGGGATGTCACACCTCATGCCCTTTTTTAGTTACAAACTTCTAGCATCTCTTCCCAGAAAACCAGTCCTGTTTCTCTCATCCTTGCTTCTTGGTGATAGGCTTCAAAAAGAGATGTCACCTAGCACCAGAAAGACTGGGGGAAACATTAACATCTAAAAGAACACTCACTAGGAACTGTGTAAGAAGTCGAAATTAAGGAGTGTCAGTGTTTAAACAGAATCATACTCAATCCAGGGAGTTTGTGGGTTAGAATACTTAACATGGGAACAGGTGTCCAATTTAATTAAAGTAAAACTTGTTTACCTTTCTGTATCAGGAGAAGAAAGAACTGTGCAGGTCATAGTGTGAAATAGCCTTATGTGGGAACTCTGATATTATAGTGAGTTTAGGAAGTCAGGTTTTTGCACTTGTATTATACGGACAATATTCACTACAACCCAAACTTTCCATGTCATTTTAAGTTGGCACCTATTACTCAAAATTCTTTGTTAAATACCGAAACATACAAGAAAGGATTTTAAAATATATTTTTATACTCTCAAAAATTATACCCATGATAGACTTACTGCTTTCCCCTCCAAATATAAATATTCTCAGGAAAACTAAGTTTATAGGTGAACGGTCGTAGGAATAGGCTATGTAGAAAGGGAAGAAGAAGAATAGCACAGAGAAAAGGCCACCGGCAATATCCTGGCAGGTGATAATAACAGATATTTATGTATTAGGTAAATATACTTAACCCAGTAGCAGAATCTAGTTTATTCATTTTCTTCTGAAGACAAAATTCTCTTTCGGCTCATTGTCCATTAAAGTAGAAAAATTAAAAAAAAAAACAAAAAAACCTGTATTTGGGGATTAAGTTGTTCATTGCTAAATCAAATTATAATGTGCATTAAAATAAAATATGCAATACAAATAAATGACTTATTAAAAATGCAACTTTCAGTAAGTAGGTACTGGAATGCCAAATTAATCACACACAAACATGTACATTCTAATAAAGAGATGTACAATAACTTTGTCCTTTTTCCTTTTGCAATAAATAGTGGGTTGTTAATTTTACTAAACATGTATGAATATCTGTGATTTCTTTTTTGCTACATCTGATGGCATGCATTTAGAGTAACTGGAAAAAAATTACTCTTCAGATTTATAAAAGCCTATGTTTTTGCACGGACCCAGGGATGCTGTTAATGGTATCAGAGGTCATTTTCCTTTTTCTTTAAAGAACTCTCAAATGCACTCAGTGCTGGCATTTTTAGCAATGATTGTCCCTTTATTTCTTCTTTGGCTCAAAAGCTATCTGTAGAGGGCAAAGATCATCACAGAGAGCATGGCTCTCAGACAGGGAAGTGAAGGTGTGTATGTGTGTTGTGAGAAAGGGTATGGTATGGGTGTGGATACATGTTGGAGTTAGGGCTATGGATTCACACATTCAACAAACTCCATTGTCCACAGTGCAGGGGACCCAGAGAGAGCTAGTTCTTACTATAAATAATCTGAGGTCATTAAAAAAAAAAAAAAAAAAAAAAGAGGCTTTCTGCAACACTATAGACATTTCATCCACACATAAATGTATATTTTTAATGCACGTTGTTAACTCTATCTTGTGATAAAATAGACAAAAGCATTTCTAACGTACACTTGATACAGGCCATGGAGACAATTAAAATTGTGCTAGCCTACCCTGACAAGCTCTTGAGGAAAAGGTCCTCTGGAATTTTCTGGCAAGTTGATTGGAGGGATAACCCAGTCTCTCTTCTGTCTTTGTAGGTGGCCATTGTGCTTAGCTGCTTGTCTTGGGAATACTATTTCTTCAATTTCCGGTGATTCCTTTGCATTAAAATACAACAAGACATTGCTGAGTACGAGGAAAAGCATTTTCTGAAAGGACAGGAGAATCAATGGATACCTGCCAGTGTAGGGCTCACGGTTAGGAACAAGAAAACATGCCTGGAGGCCCTCTCCTCATCCCTCTATTACAATAATAGAAAACACCATAAAATTTAGGGGTTACAATGATGATTAAAGAACTGAATTCCAAACAATTTATTATGTAGCACAGCTGTGTAAACTGTTTGCAGTTTCTATAAACCATCTTAGATAGGAGTTAATATTGGGCACAATTTAATAGTACCCTTTTATATATCTCTCATTAGTTTAAACCACAGTTCAGGTAATGTGCTACTGTACATTAAATTTAGATCTTGATGTGCTAAAATATAATTTGAATTCCAGGAGAAGTTTAATACATACTGCTAAGGCATGTCTCAAATATTTATGACCCTATTAAATCCCACAGAATTAATGCTGTAATTATTCTAAACCTATGTCAGCCATGATGGATGCTGTAGATGACCCACTTTGCACACTGGGTATTAATCTCTGCTGGATGTCAACATTTTCTTCTGTTTTTCCTTATATCTGTAGGCACTTTAGCCATTAGCCCTTGCTGCTTCAGTGCAAATATCCAAGCTGGTTTGCTGGACCACAGCGAACCATCAACAACAAAAGCATTTTTTCATTCAATTAGTTACCAGTTTCTCACTGTGTTCCCCAAATGACATGATTCCCCTTAACAGTTAATAGATTAATAAATTACATCTCATAGAATGAAAGTCAAACATTGGTGCAAGAGAAAAATGCTATCTTTTCCACTGATATACTTTTTCATATTTGATTATGGATGTGTATAGTATATTTACAATGAACCAGCAGAAGTGAATGTGTGTATTCCTATTTCCCAAACTACAATAAATACACAAAATGTAATAGTTCTACTTCATGAAATTATGGACTTCAAAATAGATGATGGTGGTGCCCCGTCATTTGTTTCAAATTAACTTAACATGAAATAGAAATTCAGAAACTAATAACATTATCATAGCTTTACTGAAGAAGTTATTGTGTCTTATTAAAAATTCCTAATATAGTGACTTATACAAAGTAAGTGCTCAATAAATGTCTGTCACATTTAATCAAATTGTACTTTGGTGAAGTGTATCTATTTATTTTATCATGGCTTACAGCAGCTTCCACCAGAGGGAGCATATCATTCCTAAAAGTTGTGCCAGTAGTATAAATAACTCATACTCCCCAATTTGATTATTCAGGGGCCAGACATGAATGCAGTACTTCTAGCTAGAAATGCTTTCTATTGCTACTGAGTATCCCATTTAATACACTTGACTGGTGACATCTTGCAAAGAATTGTTTATTTTTTGGCTATATTTAACAGCTTGTAAAGCTCCTGAAAAATTTAAAACAAACAACTACTTCTAATTTTAAGTTAAGTTCTAAATCTCAAAGTATAAACAACCCTTTCAAACACAATTTGAGATAGCTTAAATATATATTTAGTGTATCTTATAAGATTAAAAAAACCCACAAAATACTATTGAAATGACTGAAATTGATAAATATTCAAACATTGGCCAAGATGACATCTAAAGCAAAGTATCTATTTCGTTCAAACCGTATAAATCAGATTTTTAAACATGACTCTGAAGATATTATTTGGATACTCTACCTTCACTGAATCCTCAGGTAAGGCAGGCTTGAGGCTCAGTTTTACTGCTACTTGCCACTTTTCCTGAGTCTCTTTGTCTTGGGCATATATCAGGAACTTTGCATGCTCGGAGGAGAGGGGAAAGCTTCTCACGGCATACACCATTCCGTCTTCATCCACCTTAAAATCTGCTGGCTCACTGCTTTCATACTGTACTTTCCTTTTTCCATTGCAGTTGCTGAACTTTACTGTAAAAGATAATAAATATATAAGTCTAGTGATGATAAAAGGTAGAGACACAACATCTAACTAAGTCCATGACCCGCTTCGGTTTTAGCAGGCATGAAACACAAAAGTTTTATTTTTACATTATTAAAGGCATTCTCATACTAGAGAATAACAGATGGTGGGGCCGAGCTGTACCCCAGAATCTCCTTGTTCCAAAGCCTTCCCCCTCCCTTCACATTTCCCTGGATCTTGAGCCCTTGGCTATAGCTGCCTTTTCTCCCCGTGCCTCTCAATGCCATCATCTGCTACTCCCTAACAAACTCCTACTCATTCTTCAGGTCCCAGCTCCACAGTCACTGAAGGTAGAACCCTTGTTCTCAGTCTTCACGTAGTAATCTGAACTCTACTATCAGCCTTTTTTTTTTTTTTTAATGGTTGTTTATTTTTGAGGGGGGAGGGGCAGAGAGAGAGAGAGATACAGAATCTGAAACAGGCTCCAGGCTCTGAGCTGTCAGCACAGAGCCCGATGTGGGGCTCGAACCCATGAACTGTGAGATCATGACCTGAGCCAAAGTCAGACTCTTTTAACCCACTGAGCCACTCAGGCGCCCCTCTACCATCACAGTTTTATAGCCATGCCTGACATTCACTCTGAGTGGTACTTCAGGACAAATTTTCTTTGCTATCTTGTATATCTTGCAAATAGTCTTCATATATAATTTTTGAATAAATTCTTTAAGGAAGGAAGCAATTACTTTGATTAATGTTGACTGCCCACTTTGCTCAAAAATTACAAGACCTTAGTAGTAATTAAAAGGGGAATAATTTGCAATCTCTAGTCCTCCTGGCACTTAGAATAGTTCTATGAAGCAGTAACAATTTATAAATTTTCAAGCAAATAAAAATAAACATATATATCACAAAATAAATTTTAACTAAAAATACCTATGGATTAAGAATAAAAATATCAAAAAAGATTTTAGTAACTTATCTTTATCTTTAATGTCTTAAAATTGAAAAAAAATCAATGCTTTCTTAAAAGCAATGTCAATCAGCTTATGTCTCATTGCATAACAACGCAGAAGTTATACTACCTACTTAGAAACATGGAACCATACATATTCAAGCCAAAATAAAATTATAAAATAACAAAAATATTCTCTAAGGAAGATCAGTTCTTTTGGAATCATTCTTTATGAGGGAAATTTCTATTGGAATAGCATGAAAGGATCAAAGAAAAAACATTTTAAAATTTCTGTACACATGTAATGTTATGTCCTAAACACAATTACAGAGGATACATTTTGGAAAGTAATTAATAGGTACACGTTACAGGTTCCTGGGTGGCTCAGTTGGGTAAGCGTGTGCCTTCAGCTCAGGTCGTGATCTTAGGGTTTCTGAGTTTGAGCCCCGCAACAGGCTGTCTGCTTGGGATCGTCTGTCTCCCCTCTCTCTGCTCCTCTACCACTTGCACTCTCTCGGTTTCTCTCAAAATAAATAAATAAACTTTAAAAAACTTGGTACACATCAAAAAATATAATCGTATACCTACTACCTTTTGAATTTTTAAGGATCTAAGTAAATTTTTCCAAACTCCCACTCCACATACAGATTGAGGAGTTCTTTTGTTTCCATTAATATAAATTCACTGAGATGTGCACAAGATCACAGCGAAATAACATGCATGCTATTTCCCTTAGTAACCATAAAATCCTTGATAACAGAAATAAAATACTTTAACTACTGAATATATTATTTCCCACATAGTCCCACATACATCATCCTTCGTTTTTCAAACATCTCAAAATAAAAGTTTTATCTCTTGCTAAATTATGCTAAGCCAAAATATTTGTCTTTGGAGTAGAAGTATCCCAAAAGATACTCATTTACCCCATCTTACTTGCCATGTGATTTAAAAGTGAAAAACTAGATTTCTTCTATAGAACAGTGCCATCAACTTCTAATCTTTTTATTAAAGACAAAATGAAAAGTAAAATTGTTTTGGGGGAAGCCTGCTGAGATAGCAAAACAAAAGACTTTTCTCATCTTCTTGTATAAAAGTAACTCTCTTTTTAAAAATTTTTAAATGTTTATTTTTGAGACAGAGAGAGACAGAGCACGAGTAGGGGAGGGGCAGAGAGAGAGGGAGACAGAGTCCGAAGCAGGCTCCAGGCTCTGAGCTGTCAACACAGAGCCTGACTAATGCCGGGCTTGAACCCAGGAACCACGAGATCATGGCCTGGCAGAAGTCGGACGCTTAACCAACTGAGCCACCCAGGCGACCCTAAAAGTACCTTTTTATATCAAAAAAAGGCATTTATGAAGTTAAAAACATAGAATCTTGATGAGATCTTTGGCACTTTTTTCTGTGTGTTCATTTTTACCACTCTAGCATGTGTATCATTATCACTTCACACCTGGATTTTTGTATCTGCCTCCAATAGGTTTTCTCCCTGTTCCAGGTCATTGAGCATCTATTCTTAGACTAAACCTCTGTTGCTTAGTCACGTCTCCTCCTCATTTAATATCCGTAATATTATATGTACGCTTTCATCTAGCGTACAATGCTCTTCTCACTCTTGGGTACTTGGTCTCTTTAGTTTTTCATATATCACCTTCTAAGACATATTCTGCCCAGTCGGATTTCTCAGTCATTCCCCCATCTCACTGCAGCCCACACCCCACACTCACCATCTTTTCTAGAAAGCTCCTCCCGCCCATTCTCTATGCCCCAGCTCCAGAGCCAGGTCATCATTTGGGGTTAAAGGGTCCACCTAGAAGACCTTCGGAAGATGAGCCAATGCCCTCACTTGGGAAGGCTTCACATTTTGAATTTTAATTTATTTTAACTTTGATTTGTTTTTACATTCCCTGTCCATAGAAGCACATGTTAGCACTTTATTTTTATTACAATCATGATTTTAATAAATAATGTCTAGATAGTAATGGTTGCATGTGACTAGATCTTCTCTCTGTAAGTAGACTGTAAACTCGTTTTGGCTTCCTGGCAGTGAGTCTCGGTTCTTTTGTTTCCTAGGACACTCAGCAGTGACAGAGACAGTATAAATGCTCATTTAATGTTTACAGGCCAGTTGTACAGATGAACGTCTTACAACTTTTCAAAAAACTAGAAAATAGATGGGAAACTTAGAAATATGTCCACCCTGCTATAGCAACAGCATTCTGCAACAAAACTCAGGAACTTTAAATACGTGGACTATGGATTTGGTTGCTGGGAGTGAATGAAAATGAATTAATATTTGTTGCATGCCAGGCACTGAACAAGATACTGAAGATTAGGTTAGCTACTTTAGCCTTAGCAAGAACCTCTTGAAGTGACAATTGTTCTTTCTGTTCTAGAAATGGAGACAGCAAATTCAGAGAGCCATCTGTGCCCATGGCTGTCTGACTCCTACTGATTCTTCTGCAAAAGCACAACGGAATCTAACTACATTCATGACGCGTAAGTTATTGAAACCTAAACCTTTAGTAAACAATAAATGTGGAGCAGTGACAAAGAGGCTTAACAAATGCCTGTGAAGCGAACAATGTCACACCTGGATCTCCAAATGTACCAACGTAATGTGTATTATTAAAAAGAAGTCCTTAAGTTGGAGTGGAGCCTACACGCCTGTAGAGGGGGGTCGCTGGTGCCCCTGGAGGTGGGGTGTGGGGTGCAGCAGGCAGAAGATGGAAATTCACGCTCACTGCTACAATGACTGAGTATTCTGTTAAATAGGTACTCAGCCACCTATTTGGTTTCAGGTGTCACAATGATGCAGGGAAGGGAAAGAAGGCCTTTAAAGAAAAATTCACTAGCAAAGAAAGGGAAATGTTCTTTTTCCTATAAAGGGTCACTGCACATCCTATGAATGAGAAGGGGTTGACCTCAGAGAGTCTGACACTGGGGAACACACTTTGACGGAAACTGCATAAAGGTGAGTTATTTAAAGTCAGTTTTCCAATAAACTATTTTGTAAAAATATATAAACAAACAAACAAACAGAAATGTCTCCCAACAGCCACCTCTGTAAAGCTTTTGCAAATTACACTTTAAAAAAGAGCTGAATTAATGTCAAGAAGCCAACAAATATATATGTATATGTAAAAAAAAAATAAAGTCAGTTTTCTATCACCTCTGCTCCTAGCCTATAACAAACGTGAATTGGTTTAATAAATCTGTTATTAAATACTTCTGGGTTTTAAAAATAAGTGTTAGTCTACACTGGCTCAAATACTAAACTAAGTAACATTTTGGGGGGGGATTGTTCAGGTTTAAAGAAATGTTTTTCATTATATAATCCCCTTTGTGCATTCAACTATTAGAATCAACACCTTAACAGAAAATATGTCCATTGCCAACTGAAAAAATTCTTGGTGAAGTATTAGTCCAGATTTCATCCTGTGGTTTTGAGTTAACGCATGAGGAGTGCCTGGTGCACGGTGACATGCTGAATCAATGACAACCACATTTTGCTGTTTTCAAGTCACACAAATTAAAAGGTTTACCAATTTTAATGGGTGTTATGAACTGAACTATGTTCCCCCAAATCCATATGTTGAAGCACTAACCCCCAGTACCTTAGGATATGACTGTAACTGGAGACATGGTCTTTAAAGTGGTAATTAAGATTTAAGGGGCACCTGGGTGGCTCACTGGGTTGTGTCCTACTCTTGATTTTGGCTCAAGTCATGATCCCAGGGTCTTGGGACCCATTCCCACATCAGGCTCCATGCCGAGTGTAGAGCCTGCTTGCGATTCTCTCCCTCTCTCTCTCTTTTTCTTCCCTTTCCCTGTTTGCACTGTCAAAACAAATAAACATTAAAAAAAGATTTAAAAAGCTCACTCAATATGTCTAATGTCCTTACAAGAAGAGGAAATTTGGGTATAGATCTGCGGGAGGACAAACTGTGAGGATACAGCAAGAAGGTGGCCATCTGTAAGCAGAGAAAGGTCTCAAGAAAAATCAAACCTGCTGTCACCTTGATCTTGGACTTAAGCCTTCAGAACTCTGAGAAA